ACACACACACACACACACACACACACACACCATCATGTCCATCAGCTAGTTGTGATCATAAAATAACTCCTCTTCCTTTTAACCTGTAACTTTAACGCTGAACTACCACAGAGGCTGCAACAAACCAAAATCAGCACATTGTGTCGTCTTGACCTTTTTCCCCCGGTAAACAAAATTGGACTTTCCAGTGCAATTCTCCTCAAGAGTGGAGCAGCGAGGCGGCAGCTCGGTTTCAATCGGCAGTTAAAGGCGTGACCTCTTTAATGGTGGTGTCTGTTGTCTGCAGGAGGAAGCTCAATGTTCTCCTCTGTGTTTAATGGAGGGTGATGAGAGGTGGAAAACTGCTGAAATCATTGTGGGCCTTCCCCAAATCTCCCATTCTACAGTGAGCTACAGTCCAGTTCACCCGCAGGCGGTGACGACCTGTCAATGAGCGTTCGTACTTGTTTTCACTTTCCTGTTCACTGCTCTCTCTCTCTCTTAAGTATGTGCACATACTGTTAGTGCTTCCTCCCACAGTCCAAAGACATGCAGACTGCAGATAAGGTTAATTGGAGACTGTAAATTGAGCACACGCTGCTCCTGTGATACGCTGGCGACCTCTATAGGGTGCACAACACCTCCTGCCCAGTGTCAGCGGGGATCGGCTCCATGCAGCCTATCATGACCCTCAAAGGATCAGCAGTCCAGATAATGGATGGACGGTTGGTAGGAACAGTTTCATCTCTATGAAGTCAGAAAATTATGTCTTTTGTAACCGATAAGATTAGAGATGATCCACAACTCATTTAAATCAACAATTTGTAACACACAATTGATGACGTCAATACAAAATGGTATTGAGAAAAGATAGACATGTATATAAAGCAAACCACAGGGTGTGTATATCCCCTCCGATGCTTTTTATTTTGCTTTCGTTTGTGTGCGTCTGCGTGTACATGTGTGACACTTCCCCATGCGTGTCTGAAGACTGGCTGAGGTCAGGTCTGGAGAGAGCACAACACTTTCAAACAAGCAACGTAGCAAAGCCCTTCCTGTAAGTCTCTCTCACACACACACCCGCACACGCACGCACACACACACACACGCTTTTGCAGGCATTACTATCAAGACAAGACAAGAAAGAAAGGTCACACTCTGTCACAGCTAGGCCCTAAGGGGCTAGAAGAACAGACAGGTACGTGTGTGTCTGTCTGTGTGTGTGTGTGAGTGTGTGTGTGTGTGAGTGTGTGTGCATGTGTGTGTACGCAGAGGACGGTAGGTGCAGCAGTTTCCCTGAGGTTCACCGTACAGGCTGCTCTCACCTATTTCCCTACTTTAATGCACAACACAGACACAGGAAACAGTTCTACTGTGACATCTGGTCAATTCTTGTGTCTGAAGCATCTTACACAGCTTTGGTGGCCTAAGAGACAGTTTAATAAACAATTCTCAGCATTTGGAGGTTGGACAAAGGAGCCGGTTCATCCACTACACAGAAAATGAATCCCTAACTATTTTGACGGTCTCTCAGTCTCTTAAGCAAACATGTCCGATGCGTCTCGGAAACGTCCTCATTGAAACAAGCAATCCAGAGATGTCACCACATTCATCTATGGGATCACTATTTGGGAAAATAATTAGTGGATTAATTGATAATGAAAATATTTGTCAGTAGAGAACATGTTCCGTCAACGTTGGGGGAAAAAAGTAAATACTTCCAAAAATTAAAAATTCACATCCACATGATTTTAAACAAACAGAAAACCCATCTAATGAGTAAATATGAGCTGTCAACAAATTACAGAAATCATTGTTATACTTGGATAAATGATGTTGAAATCTTGCTTTTGAATAGGATGATTAATTAAATGTGCCAGTTTTCAATTAGTAAATAATAGGAAAGTCACTTGTTTGACATTTATATCCGCTCAATGCCGGACTCCTGCCAGCAGAGGGCGGTGTTTGATGATTTATGTGCTCTGGCTTCGGCTGCATCCAGCGGTGATGGAAAAAATGTGGATCATGCAAATATGATAATCACCAAATGACTGGGAAATGATATGTAAAACGAGAAACTGCACAAGCTCAGCGTGCAAACACACATTTTAATATTTGTATAAACATTCCCTGTGTGTGTGTGTGTGTGTTTGTTTGATCATTATTTCGGATCATTATTTCTGTGGATATGTTATTTCCCAGACGGAAACACAGCAGGGAAAGTGTGGGCTGCGTACACAGGATATCCACGGACCCTCACCTTTCATCTTCAGGGCTGTAGCCCGGGGTGAGGATTAACTCAAAGAGACTAGACAGTGATGAACCCTTTTCCCTTTGGTGAGGAGCCGGGGGGGGAGAGAAATGTAGGAGACGTAGAGAGAGGGCGAAAATGAAGGAAAGGAGGAGGAGCAGGGAGATGAAGCAGTGGGAGACATTATTGGAAAAATTGGGAAAAGGAAGCTGAGCAAGGATGAAAGCTAAGCTGGGTGTGGGATTGTGGGAGTGAAGGGTTAAGACAGAAAGAGGAGGTGAAGGTGGAGGAATGACTTCAAGGTTACAAATATCTGTTTGCACTTTGGCAAAAAGTAATTTAAGTATTAAATATTCTATTAAATATGGAAAAGTTGCTGTATATTACTATTAATCAGGTGAGTAATGTGTCAGAGTTGTGTACTATTGCAACTACTGTAATCAGGTGTGTGGTATTTGCATGATCCTGCTGTTTTACTAACTAACTAACAAACAAACACAGATGGAAACAAAACCTCGGTGGCAGAGGTGCAAGACGAGAGACCAAACCTAAACATCATCAAAATGAGAAGTATAACTTACTGCCTGTGATTTCAAACAGCACTTTGTCATTCAGGCCCAGTCTCAGTTCAGGCATCCCCGACAGGACCACTTTGAGCTTTATGCTGCCCAATATTTCACTGCGCAGGACGCCGCCGTTAGCATTCACCTACAGGAAGAAGAGAAAAGTTTAGATTTATATCTGATTAATGGAATTCTGATCATTCTCTAATATGTCCTAATGATTATCAGCCTTTCTGCTCATCTGGGTGATAAAAGTACAAAAGTAACTGTGCACTTTAAGATACTGATGATCGGCAGTAGGACAGAATCACAGAGACTCCAGCGCATAAACTGGGAGAAATAAACAAGCCTTCAGCAGATCTGAACACCGAGGGACACGACTGAGAAGCTCTCAGCGTGCAGTGAGAGAAATGTAATCGGGGGACTGGTGCGAAGGAGGATGAAGGAGCTCTGAAGACATTTGAAATAAAAAAAAAAAGCCCCTGGTCACAGAAAAGGAAATGGAAAGTGCTGTAAAGGTTAAACACCTTTTATTTGCACCACGTCTGTCTGTTTGAATCACAAACACCAACAGTCGTACGCTGACACGTCCTTAAGACGTTGATTCAAGGACCAGACAACTGAGTTTTGTCTCTTGTTAAATATGTTTCTTTAGTTGTGTAGTTTAATAATATTGTATTATTAAAAAACACAAAATCTGATACAAACTCAAAAAACCTAATTAACACCCACTAAAACCAGTTGATGATGTTGTATAGCTTCTCCTCACTGTGCACAGTGAAGAAAAAATAAATAAACACCACAACGTGCTTCACTGAAATAGAACTGAGGCTTGTTGATATTAGAAACCATTTCCTTCAAAATTCAATTCAAGGAAAGAGGAAAACTGTTCGGAGGAGTCAAAACATGTCAAGGTTTTAACAAAGATGATTTTAGCACGGACACACCCACTTAGCCTCAGTTCACACAAACACTGTTCCAAGAAAATCAGTTAAAAGGACGTTGATGGACAAAAAGAACTGATTAACTATCAGAGTAACATTACAACTTTATTACATTTTAACCCGTGTACAGCTTGTACTTAGGCTGCACAACACACAGAATACTAGTGAAAAGGAGAATAATTATAGATTTGAAGAGATAGAATTGGAGTTGGGAAAATAATTTCACAAGTATCAGACAAATACATCCTGTCCAGCTCATCCTGCTCACTGAATAAATGAGATCCATATAATAGTAAAAGACAAACCAGCCAATTGCTAGATTATCAGTCATAGACATACTGAATTATTTATAGTCAAATACCTATAATTCCTAACAGCATGGTATATGACAATATAACAATTTATATACCCAGAAAATGTAAATGTAAATTAAGGTCAGGATTATCAGAGATGATAATTGTACAAATGAAAATCAATATGAAACTTTTTATTAACTTTTTACTTTCTCCAGATATTTTTTGGTCACGTGTCCTCACCAGTAGATTTACAGACTCAATGACGTCCATGAAGACTTCGTTCTTCCTGTACTTGATGCCCTCTGACCGCCAGGACACGGCGTTGGTGACGGTGGCCGGAGGTCGAGGAGCGCCGACCTCTAATTTGTGACCCTGCTGGGTGATATACCTGAGAGAGACAAGGGCAGAGAGGTGTTTTAATAAAAATTCAGTCTGTAAACCTGCAGAGGGGAACATCTGAAAAACACAAGCAGCAGCAGAATGGACTGTGGTGTTAAATGTAAAGAGTTCTCAACGGGGAACCAGCACTGATGATTGTCTCTGGGTGTTTCACCATGAGCTGTCACATTACATAGTCATTTGATCTGTCGTTAATATAAAATATTGACTGGTGCAGCTCAGATCCATCAATAGTGGATTTAAATGCCACGTACTCCACGTAATTAGGTGTAAAGAAAACAAATCAATTCACTCCATTTATACATCGCTGTTATTGAGAAGAATATTCTTTGATCCATCCTTTGATCCGTCCAATAACCGTGCACTGGGTTGTCTCTTGGTTTCTTAGTGTGCGAGTGGAGGGGCAGATTTGTTTAACTGATTCTCTCTGACTGCGTCCAGGGAAACATAATGACTCAATGTCACCATGAGAATAGAAGTGAGCTGTGGTGAGATAAACATCATGTGACCGGGACGGTTTTTGCTCAAACACCTGACTAGTGTTCGTTGCTTCTTATGCTGTTCTATTTGATTATTTTACATTTCAATCATTAATAAAGACCCACTTCTTCTCACTGGCATTCACTTTAAGTTGAGTGCGAGACCTTGATTTCATCTGCTATTGCGCAATTTAACTTTAATTCTCAAATATTTATGATCTTTTTTTCAATTCAGCTTCACTTGGCAAGCAAACCAATGTTTTTTTGGCACTTGGCAGAATGGACCATGTCATACAAACAATAAATAAAATCTATTTGGAGTAAATGGACGTATTTATTTAGCACTCGGTAAAAACAGCCGACAGTAATTTCCCTGTGAATGATGGATTTTTACAGAATCTGGATGGTTAACAAATGTTAGGCTCTTTGTTATAAACACATTTTGACCTTCACTTGAACCAGATGTGGAGAAGAGACTAATAATCACACCGGGACATGATACAGATGTTAAATAGCCATGTTTTTCTAGCAGCTAAATGTTCTGCTGGTTTTTCACTCAGTCTGTCTGCTGTTAGGACGTATATACAAAACAGAACTGTACCAGGAGTGAAAATAAAAAAACAATGAGGGCAGTTAGACTGAATGTAAATAGTGAAGTTGTGGGTTCAACAAGAATCTGAAACTGACTGTGAACCTTCATGAAGCTGCAGAGTCGGGTGTTTATTCTCTGCAGGTTCCACATTACGAGTTGACTATTTGAGTATTCACCAAACGTCACCACCCATGTGACAATGAAAGAGCTACGACATTTACATGGACAACAACGACTACTGACCTTATTCTGAACAGAATAATATATTTCTATTGCTTTTATATAACTGATATATGTACATCAAATCAGATATACTTTATTGTCCCCATGAGAAAATTTGTCTCGGGCAGTTCTACAGCAGCTGCAGAACAGTACAACAACAACAAAACACTACACAAGGACATATCATGTTAGACCCAGGATAATAATACACCTACATATATGGTACACTTTTCACAGAGAATGTAGTTCATGTAGTATTATTTGATTTTCTGATTTGTCCTTTTTATCAAAACATTTTAAAAAGTTTCTCATTTTCTTTATATTGCTCTTATTTCTAAGGCGACCTGTCCTCACATACATTTTCACTGAACCGTCGACCTTGTGTCAACTTACATACAACAATGAAACTTGAAAACTTGAATGTAACAGAGCTAAGTCTAAATACGACGTACGTCCACATCCATCGTACTAGTTGTTAACACTCAAAGGGCGTGCATCCTCAAGCATTTGGTTTAAGACTATTGTCTTAATTGGGTTAATATTGAAATAGGAATGTAAACATATCGACTGATCCTAGTGTCTTGTTTTCAGTTGTTTTGTACTTTTCCTGTCTAATGTCAACAACAGAAAGTGCTAAATAAACAGGGTTTTGATTGACATACAGATGGAGGCAACACTCCCACTAAGAGGGTCTCGGGTGCATGTTGACACACAACAAAAGTCTGAAAGTGCTGATAGATGAAAGGCGGTGACAAGTGGGCTCGGGGTCGGCGCGAGGTTGTTTTGTTGCTTTGCTGTTTGTTCTGTTTCACCCTGATTTCTCCTCAGAAATGCTAATGAAAGCTGGAGGCAGAGTTGGCAGCAAACTGACAGCTTAGCATAACAATGGCAAATCATAACGAACAAACAGACACACACCCACACACACGAAGGCTCATATGGAGGTGCACACATGAAATACAATAAAGCTTGCTCAGTCTCTGGCATCCACCCAGATGCACACACACACACACACACACACACACACACACACAACACACACCCACACTCGTTGCTGGTAGATAGGTGTTACAATGAAAGAGAAAATGGGCATTTTTGTGGTTGGGGGAATGAAAAGGTCAGAGAACTGAACTATGCCTACAAACAGAGTGTGTGTGAACCGTATGTGTGAACAGTGTGTGTGTGTGTGTGTGTGTGTGAACCGTATGTGTGAACAGTGTGTGTGTGTGTGTGTGTGTGTGAACCGTATGTGTGAACAGTGTGTGTGTGTGTGGTTGTGTGTGTGCGCGCGCAAGACATAGATGAGACTTCTGTGCTCGTCTGTCCAGCTGATGGTGTCATTGTGTTTGAGTGCCAATAGGAGCCTGGTAGGTATCAGCCCTATTCAGAACATATATATTGAGCACATGCGTGCGCACACAGGTGCATTTCCAAGTAAATCTATAATGATTACAGGACAAATAAAACCGATATATCATACAAATTGGAACGTTTTAAAATACCCAGTAAAGCCGATCATGTGAAAACTGACCCATGTTGCCGTGGCAGCACAGGCTCACTTAAGAGTGAATGTTTTTTCCTGGAAACAAACGTCTTTCAAAAGGAACCCAGAGGAGTGAAAAGCAAAACAACCCTGTGCACACTGGGAAACACTAAACACTGCCAGAGCCATAGAATAGTGGTTTCAGTTCATTTCACTCGCTGAATAAAGATCCACCATACATTACAGGGTTAGTCACCAGCTGTACGGTGTTGAATGGAAAGAAGTCGACCCATAGCACAGAAGCATAGTGTCTCTCTTTCCCTCTCTGCTGGTCACTTGTACTCCTTTAAAACCAAAATAAGCACCCATGTAGTCTTTTTAAAATATGGGTTACCCTGCTAATTACACAATGGACTCCCTTCACATTGAATTTGCTTCTCTGTCAATGTTGGAGCCACCGTTTGAGATGCTTAGACGGGTAAATTTGTGTTTTTAAAACTGCTTTGGGTCCTGCACACACTCAGCAGGCAGCTACAGAATAGCCGTACTGTTCTGTGTGTAGCCTTTACAGTGGATAAAAACAAGGGGAGCAGCAGTGTTTCTGGTTTGACAGCACTGTACATTTACAGGGTTGTCCAATCCCTGAAGGAACATAGTGCAGCAATTATGACCTTTGACAGTTTGAAACTTTGAGCCTGATTGCTCCGATGACAAAACACAGTACAACACAACTCCCCAATTTATACCTGTCTTATGGCACCACCTTCAGAAAACTAGTTTTACAGTAACTGCACCTTCTGATTTATATTTCTGCACATGAACATATTAGAAAGAGTAGTTTTTTGTTCTGTGGACTATTACAGGCTGAATAATCATTTTCTTACTCTTGCAGGATTTTGCTGTCTGTTGTCTGAGGGAAACCGAAGTCCATCACTTCATCCATCAGCTCATACACCGTCACAAAGTTGTCACGAATGCTCTCCTCCTCCAGCTCTTTAAAGTACTCCTTAAATACCTGCACACAGACACAAAATACATAGCGTGAGTACAGCAAAACGTAAACAGGAAGTTATAGCCTCCAGACAATTAGCTTGGCTTGGCATCAAGACTAAAAACAGGAAGAAGCAAACAAAGAACAACTCCAACTACCTTAAAAGCTCATTAACGTGGTGTGAAAAAGTGTTATTGTTTAATAAGTGTAGAAGAATATCCCACAAATGTCTTTGGACCAGTGTCTAAAAATAACAGCTCTCACCTGGATTATTTTATAAAGAAAGGCGTAAACAAGAGCAGCGTTGGCGTTCTTCTTGGTCATCGCCACCACTGGAGAAAAGACTGTTAAGAAAAATGGTCCCTGAATCATAGAAAAACAAAACATGCACATTGTTCTAAATCAGAGGTTGTAGACATGTGGTGAAAATCTTTCAGATACTGTGGTTGGTTAAGAGATGAATGCAAAGAAATCAAGTCATCAGAACGAATGAGAAAATGATCCCAGGGCGGTTAAAAAAGCTCACTTGTCCCACTTGTCGACTGCTGCAGTGCACTGGGAATACCACTTACTCACAACTGCAATATCATGCTGAATTAATAATATGTGAGGAAGTTTGACTGCCCAATTTCACAATGAGAATAGCTCAGACCATGAATAACACATCACAGTGAATCTGTGCTCAATTTCTCAGCCCGGCCGTGAAACATGTCGTGATAAAACCGAAGCTCAGGAGCCGAGTGCTGCAGAGATCTGAAGCACAGGACGGCCTACGGAGACAGCTCAAGAAAGAAGCCATTCATAAAATGCTTTAAATCTCTAAACACCCATGACCGATGAGGAAAGTAGGGACGACAATCACTCTAGGAGACTACGCTAAGATAAATTCCCACAGGTCTTTGGGCTGAAATGGATACGGTAAATGTTGCTTTGTTTGAGCCACATGAAGTGTGCGGAGCCATGGCAGACGAGCGGCGTCATCTCAGCCTCTTCCTCCCTCTTCATCAGGATGGGCATGAAGTGGTCGATCTCGTTCATGTCCATGTTCCCCATGTAGTTACGGCAGATCAGCACCTGGACGCATCACAGAAAGGACAAATATAAAAAGGCAGGAAACGCTGTTGTGGAGGCAGAACCCTGATATAAAATATTCACAGGTTTTGGCCGACTGACCAAACCTGAGCACTCAACTTTAAAAGATGCTTCAAAGAACCACTAGAACTACAAAAACCCAACCGCTTGGATGGACCTAAATTCACACACTAAGGAAATGTGCAAACTGTGTTTCCAACTTGGATCTCCTGGCAATGAATGATGAATGACCAGCTTCCCAACAGGAAACTGGTAACAGAGCTTGGAAATGTGGCAAACAAAGGATTGTGCAAACTACACAAACTCAAGCACTGAAAGTTAGAGAACATGCGTTATCAATGACATATGTTGTATGATTTCACCCAATTTCCTTGAAGCAGGACTCAATATTTACTAAACACACAGTTGAGCCACTTTCTGTACAATGTGGAAGCACCAGAAAAGGGAACAATGAACTTCCAAATAACAAGAGATGACCCAGAAACTCAGGTTCCACTGTGAACAGTTGTTGTTAGAAGATAAACGACACACCTAAAGCCCTTGTGTCCTGTATGGTCACCTCACCTGAACCATCAGCCACGATTTCTGGTACGACTGCTCCGTTTTGTCTGTTTCGCACATTTCAGAAAATGCACATTTAGGAATTTAAGGAACACAGAAGGACAGAAGGCTCTGTTTCCCAAAAAGTATCTAGCATTGAGCAGCCCTCACCCTAACAAAACTTATTCCAGCATTTCATCAAGCTCAATTTCTAGGTCGGATCAGTATTAGTGATGTGACTGTGATTAAGAGAGGAACAGTATCAGATCACAAATTACTGCAACACGATTTTAATCAAGCTACAACGTTGTTCAATTAGCTCTGAGAAACCACCACGTCTTCTTCTTTCAGCGCACACAACGAAAAGAGTCAGCAGACTGAGTCCAAACCCAGAGTGAAGTAAAGAAAGAGATCAGAGATTTTACGCTTGAGGGATGTGACACACACACACACATACACACTCACGCACACACAAAGCTTCCACCCTTTCTTTAATAGAAGAGTCTGTGTTGCACAGGGGTCACACAGGAGCAGATACAACAAAGGCAGGAGGAAATAAGAAATAAAAAAAGAGGAAATTCCAGGAACGTAAAGTAATCTTGGGGAGAAAAGGGATATGAACAGGCCACTGCACGGCTTCAGTGAGAGGAGACGGAAACCATAGAGCGAAAGAGTTCACAGGTCAGCGGCATCACAGAATGAGGTCGAGACAAATCTTCGTTTGGAAAAGAGGTGCAGCACTGAAGGACCCTTCAGGAATGTCAAGAGACTTTGTAGTTCTGAAGCCAAATGATGAAAGGAAAACATGACAGCATACGTATCTTTCTCATTAGGCTGAACTCTGCGTTACTTATTCAGCCTCTCTTCATCATAATTATTGACAGATCTTAAATCAGAGTGAGTTTGATCAACAAGCTAATAGACGATGACAATGAAAAAAAATCCAGATATTTATAAAAAATCCACAAATATTCATACACCCCCAATTATATCACTGAAGCCAGATTATGTTTTATACAAAAAAGATGAAGTGATGAGAAGAAATATCAATAACTGAACACAAATTGAAATGAAACCATTCAATACGAACATATACAAGGTACCTTGAATAAAAGAATACAAAAGACATTTTCAACTGCTGGTTAAACTCGAAATAATAAACATTTTTGTTCAGTTGCAAAACATAACAACAATGAATTCATTATTAAATATTACAGCCGATAGTGGCCTTAAATATCATCAGAGGAAATCATTGCAGGGATTAAGGGAAAGTTTGTTATTGGGACACACAAGGCAATCAGCGACCGGGTGAAATCAATGGGAACCATTCGCTGCTGACCTCTAAAGCCAAATGGCAACAAAACCCTGACTCTCACTGGAGCGAATCCCTGGAAGGCAAACCAGAGAGTCTAAAGAGCTCCTGTCAGTTTGTTTCACCATCAACAGTTTGGAAAAAAGAAGCGTATCACAAACCTCAAAGCAGAACTCAGAACGTTTTTATTAGCAGATACAGAAATGTTTTCAGAGCTGTTGGAAGTTAACAGTAGTTTACTTGTAGATTAAATAAAGGCAAAACACATGCCACTGAGTTGCTTCATCGATTGCAGCCATTTAACACTGTGCACACTCACAGTGCCTCAGCTGTAGGTTCATTTAAACTGCGCAAGTCTTTACTCGGAACGAGAATTAAATGATTAAACAGACGAGAATTTCGGACTTTAATCAGCATTATTGTGGATTCATTGTGGTGTGGTTAAATGTTGCTGTACACTATGATGTACAGTAAATATAAATAATTCATAGAAATACATGTGGAAGACATTCAAATAAAATGGCAGGCAGTAAATACAGTACACTAAATATTAAACAGCAACTTAAAGTTATTAGGATTCATCCTCTGGGCAACATTAATAGATAGTCTGAACCACAGTGAAGGATCAAGTGACTGACCAACATTTAACATCGCTTACGTTTTCTCATTGACAAGTTTGACTCTATGTCAACAAATGTCCACAAGTAATCAAAATGATAAAATAAGCTCAAAAATATATTAAAAATGTATATTGGCCACGTGAGTCTGATGCTTAATATATCAAACTGTTCTCAAAACAGTTCGGACATAAATATGAAGACAACAGGATCAGTCTCTACAACCCTGCCTATACCCGGTTATATGTTATCTGCGGTGGAATTCTGAATATTTGAGAGCATTTATAATCACAGGAACACTTAAGTATTTTCTTTTCATCCTCAGCTGTAATTGAGGACACGGGACCTCGGCTGGTCACGATACAGTCTATGGTCAGGACGGAGGGAGGGAGGGAGAGGACTGAAGGTGAAGAGCTGCTGACTTGCCTCAGGGCAGAGAACGACAGTTTGGGAGAGGGAGAGAGAGAAAAGCTTTAATCTGTACAATCAGACATCCAGGCTATGAGGGACTGATCCTTTTCCCTGATGGGTATTGTCTAGTATATAAGGCTTCTTCAGATATTCCCTTTCTTTCCTTGAAATAAATTAACCCTGTGAGGATTGAGATGTAAAACTCAATGAGGGAAATATTCTGTGGCCTCTTTTATTCCTCGCATGCTAGGCTATACATCTGTAAAATTCCAAATACATATCAGAGGGTTTTCTACATGTCGCAAGGCGTTCTGGATCTGGGGCGCTTGAAACAACACCTTCAGGGATGCAACTATGGAATATTTTTATTTCATTTTTACCATTTTTACCGATGTCTGTGCTGACGGACACTTGGGTGACATCACAGGAGCAGTAAGGAGGCAATTCATGTTTTTTTCTGTTGTTTTTTCCTGTTTTCAAGAATCGGTCACCAATGACTTTGATTTGGCTGAAACACTAAAACTCCAAAGAGTGTTTTGTGGACTCAAACACTTCACCCACCCCTCCATCGGCAAAGTGGTGAGGAGATAATTAGGCAATTTTCTTTTTTTGGGTGGACTATCCCTTTAATATAATAATGAAAATGTTGAAAATAAAACACATGACGGACTGACAAGTATGTGTATACATATTTTTTTTTTCTGAAAAAAATTTCAATATGATATTAAGTCACAGTGATAATTTCTGGTGTGACGTTATTGAAGCTGCAGAGAATAAAGTTTTAAACTTTGAAATGGGACACATCACATATAATAAAAGTTGCATCACTGCACAAGAACAAGCGTCTCAGTGTGTGTGTGTGTGTGTGTGTTGTGTGTGTGCATGTGTTGTGTGTGTGCATGTGTTGTGTGTGCGCATGAACAAAATGTTGATAAACGAGTAGAACTAGTTGAGCTGCTCTCAGTCTGACGTGCCATCTGGAGGGACACGTACAGGAAACACATGTAACATCTGGTTCACGAGGAGCAGCTCACTAACTAACTAATTAACAAAACGCTAATTAACACACAAACTGATCAAGTCAACCTGAACAGCATGTTAATTGAAAGCACTGACACTCATCGACCCGCTCCTCCTGCAGCAGGTGCTTCATTGAACAACCTGGCGTCAACTTCCCCAACAACAACAACGAGTCGCCACAAACTTACCTTCCCCTTCAGGTCCAGGATGAAGATCGCGGAAGCAGACATGTTGGTTGTGGAGATGAAACCCTCCGTCAGAAGAAGTGTCCTGGGTGTGAAGTGAGTCCGTACTCAGAGATGTGGGTCATTTCTATGAGGGAACAGCCGCTGCCATCCTCCTCCTCCTCCTCCTCCTTCTTCTTCTTCTTCTTCCTCTTCCCCTCCTCCTCCTCCTCCCTCCACAGCGTCTCTCTCTCAAACTGCGTCTGTTCCACTGCGTCAAGTTACCGGTGATGAGGGAGAGGACACTTCCGGTTAACAAGTACATTTACTTCATAACTACTTTTGCTTTTTAAGTACCTGCACTCTCTCTCTCTCTCTCT